TCGCTTTATTAACACCACATTGCCAGCAGTTTTTTTGAGTTTAGCTATAGGAAGTATGTATAGCAAGGGTGAAGAAGAACCTGCAGCACTGCAGATGTGGCTGGACTATACCAGCTCTCTTAATCTCGGTTTTCCAATGCTGGCTGTCAGGTGTGAAGAGTGTAAAAACATCTGGAGGGATGCAGGCTGCTCAACAGCTGATGTGTAGAATGAGTTGGCTGTAACTAATTCCAAGGCTTGGCCACTCTCTCTAGCACATTCTGGTGACATCTTAAACATCATTAATGTGATGTACTGTATGTGGGCTGCCTTGAAGGATGCTCATAAATGGTGCAGAATGCAGCTCTAGAGAGTGGCAAACAGAGAACGATGCTTGTTCTTCACTGTCTTAACTGGCCACCAGTTTAGCAAAATTAAAGGAGTCCTGACCTGCAAAGTCCTAGTGGCCTGGATCTTCAGGAATTAATCTGGATAATTGTTTATTCAGCTATAAACACTGGTGGTGTCAATAGCTTTATTCCCACTGAACAGGGTCTTTTGAGTGGTGGCACTCTTGCTCTTGTATTCTCTCCCCCTCACCAGGCTCTTTCATTTAATATCTCAAAATTATTGTTAAAACAGTCATGTTTTCACCTTTTTTAAAAAAATTGGAATTGGAAGTTGCTGGTTTTTAGTACGTCTACAAAAGGTTGTCCCATTACTGCAAGGACAGCTCCTGCTCAATGGGATTTCCTCTCCCTGTGTGTCTCCACACCCCTCCAATCTGCTCCAGATGTTTGGGGAGCAGAGCCGTCTTTCCCATTGGGTTTACTGGTGCGTTATGCCAGGGTGCCAGCCTCTCAGGGATGCCCCAGCTTAAGGGGATATGCTTAAGACGGCTCTGTTGGGGAGGGATCCCAGAATATTTTAGGGAGGGTCTGTGTAAAGAGAAGGGATGTGGGTGGTGCTGTGGGTTAAACCACAGAGCCTAGGACTTGCTGTTCAGAAGGTCAGTGGTTCGAATCCCCATGACGGGGTGAGCTCCCGTTGCTCGGTCCCAGCTCCTGCCAACCTAGCAGTTCGAAAGCACGTCAAGTGCAAGTAGGTAATTAGGTACCACTCCGGCGGGAAGGTAAACGGTGTCTCCGTGCACTCCTCTGGTTCGCCAATAGCAGCTTAGTCATTGTGGCCACATGACCCGGAAGCTGTACACCGGCTCCCTCGGCCAATAAAGCGAGATGACAGCTGCAACCCCAGAGTCAGTCACGACTGGACCTAATGGTCAGGGGTCCCTTTACCTTTACTGTGTAAAGAGAAGGAAAAGAAGTTCTGTGGTGCAGGTGGAGGTGTTTGTGCTAATGGAATGACTTCCTTAGATACACTAGATATCTTCATTAGAGACAATAGATATCTCAGAATCATGGGTTCAAGCCCCACATTAAGCGAAAGATTCCTGCATTGCAGAGGGTTGGACTAGATGACCATTGTGGGTCCTTCCAACTCTATGATTCTATAATCCCTGGACTTTATTTGCACGTGTTTGCAATTTTAAAGTTGCTTTATATTATTATTGTCTTTTAAACTGCTTGGGAGTTGCATTGCTGGACAGAAATTAAAATGTATAAAGGCTTGATTGATTGATTGATTGATTGATTGATTTCTGTAGGGAGTCACCTTCTCTGGAGGCAGAGTAGGAATGAATGACTAGACCAAGAACAATTCAGAGGAATATGATCATTGGTCTTAATTTGGTAGATCAAGACAACATTTTGGAGAAACCAGGGGAGAAGAGATTAAAAAGCGAAACAGGAGATCTAAACCAGCTTTCTCTAACCTGGTTCTCTCCAGATGTTTTGAACTACACCTGCCATTGGCCACACTGCTGGGATGAATAGGATTTGCAGTCCAAAACATCTGGAAGGCATGAGGTTGGGGAAGGCTGATCTAGAGAGCTAAAATGATGGTAAAGGTTAGATGTGAGAACTTAACAGTGGATCGTATGTTGTCAGTTGAGACTAAATCTGAGTCCTAGATCGGCAAAAATTAAACTGGTTCTTAATGGGAAAACAGGGCCTTTGCAAGGAAACTTCTTTTAGGCTGTTCGTGGAACACATGTTGAGGAAGAGAAGCAGAACTGCCAGTTGTTAAGAGCAGCAGGGAAATGTTGTCTATTTCCAGTGGACTTTTTTTGTAGTTGTTCAAAGGGTGCCATGAAACACTTTGCTCTCATCTGCTGAACTGGTATGGCTATTGTGTTTTCGTAGCTATGCTTGCTCGTTTTAGTAGAGAAGTGTCATGATTAGGTATGGAATAAATGAAGTATACAGCCATACACCCTAGCCAAGTATATTCAGAAATAAGTCCCAGTGAATGGGGCTTAGTCCTAAGCATCTAATCAGATTGGATCTAATCAGATACGTGAAAATGGGTCTGATCTTCAGTCAATAAATTCCTGCAGATACAAACCCATGGCCTCAATCCAGCCCAAGCCATGTGCAAGGAGTGTCCCCAGGTGTTGCTGCACATCTGTATAAAAGGTGTATCCAGCCAGGATTCGGATGACTATTTTTATGTACAGTTGTGCTTGCATCAGTCTGGTTCTGCACACTATTCTCCCTAGGTGGATCAAGGCTCATGAATTTTCAGCCACTCCCCTCCTCCTTCAGAGGAAGCTCCAACATCTGCCTACAATAATGGAAGGGAACCAAATTTGTGGCATGCATTTATTTGCATTATGCAAAGACGACCAACTCTCTGGGTTTTTGTACAGCTTGATAGCTAAGGATGCTTCGTGGACATTTGATAGCTGATCTTCAGATTGTGGTGTGGGTCATCCCTACCTAAAGCAAAGACCAGAAAGGCAAAGAGCTTGATAGGTTTTGAATCTGACTAGAGGGTCTGAGTTTTGGAACTGGTGAGCAAGTACCAAATGATGCTTCTACTTTTGGAGGACTGATGAGTATTATTTGCCTGATCTTCCCCTCGAAATGGAGGGTAGTTTTCCAGGCGAAGGTCTCAGCAATGCTCTCTTCTTTCCTGACTTTTAAAAACGATTATTGTGAAATAGGAAGGGTTGGTGTGAAAAACCCAGCAGGGGTACAACACCTTAAGTCATGGGTAGGCAAAGTACGGCCCAGGGGCTGAATCCGGCCAATTGCCTTCTAAATCCGGCCCGCGGACGGTCCATGTATCAGTGTGTTTTTACATGAGTAGAATGTGTCCTTTTATTTAAAATGCATCTCTGGGTTATTTGTAGGGCACAGGAATTTGTTCATTTCCCCCCCCTTCAAAATATAGTCTGGCCCCCCACAAGGTCTGAGGGACAGTGGACCGGCCCCCTGCTGAAAAAGTTTGCTGACCCCTGCCTTAAGTCTTCTACTTGTTGATTAGGACTCCTGCAGGGTGTTTTGGAACCCTTTTAGAATGATTGCTTAGTATTCCTGAACAATGAGTGGCTGCTTGTGCCCTTCTACTGCCCCAAGTGAGACATTGTAAGAAGAAACTGGAGCAAAAACCTTGCTCGGGTACTGATTTTTGGGTCAGTCCCCTTTGCACCCCGTTACCACAGCAGAGTGACCCATACTGAAGGTCCGAGAGCAAGCTGGTCAGTTGGCAACCCCGAATCGCAAACCATTTGTTGACTGCCGCCTGAATTTTCAGGGAAGAGTGGGAGAAATAGATTTGTTATCTGAAACGCAGCATATGTTTCGAGCGGAGCACAACAGCTTTCTGAGCCAAGCTATTAGTAACACCTGATATACCCCCCTACTACTCATTAGTCACCTGCCAGCAATGAGCCATTCTATTAGCATTCCTGCTCCGCTTTGATCTTCCCTCTCCTGCTCTGCCGCTAATTAAGCATCTGTTCGCCAGGCAAAAACAAATCATCTCCTTATGAAAGCATAAAACATTTCAATTTCAGACAAAAAGAAATCTGCTGTAAATAATAATTAAGGAGTCAGTGTTTCCCCTCCCCCAAGAAGAAGAGAAGAACCAGATTGTCACCCAAGTCATTCCAAAATTTTTTTAAAAAAGTTTCTGTTGAGTTGGGGAATGTTCCTTTCTAGGATTTGGGTCCTAGTGAGCCTTAGTGACTCACAGCTTTCCTCCGCAGCATATGGGGGAATTTTGTACACTACAAATTTAGATTTGCTTTAATTTGTCATGGAGCACTGTGGGCTCCTAAAGGGCTTCTTACCTCAATTTACTCTGATAACATCCTTTTATTTATCTCATCCACTCTTCCAAGGAGCCTCTGGGAAATGATATGAATTGAAAAGGATGTTCAAAATAACTTTTATAAATAAACAACAACCCAGCGGCTTTTCTTTTGGGAATTATAGGGACAGAACTACCTAAATTATACAGAAATTTATTTATGTCTGCTACTACAGCAGCAGCAAGAATGCCACTTGCCCCAAAGTGGAAAAGCAGCAGTCCTAGCAAAGGAAGAATGGTTACAAAAAGTTATGGGATATGCAGAAATGGCGAAACTCACCGGAAGAATAAGAAATCAAGATAACAAATTCTTTAAAATAAAAAAAGGAAATGATTTACTGAATATTTACAGATAAATTGCAAACAGATAAAAACATTAGCAGGATTATTGTAATAACCTACGGTTTTAGAAGAGTATGTATTTAAAGTAGATAATTAAATGAGCAAATTAAATGAATTTGGATATGCGGAAGGTATTAAAAAAAATAATTGAGGGAACCACAGAAAGAGGGGGAAGGAAGTCAAAGTATAAATAAAAACTTTTTTTTTAAAAAAAAAAGGAGCATGGGGCAGTGTAGCTGGAGTTTTCTAACATTATCCTTGCAAGAGGCCTGGTTGTGCTGAGAGATACTGATGGATTCAAACCATTCAGTGAGCTTCATGACTGAGCAGGGATTTGAAAAAAAGTGTCTGCAGAAAGTGCAGAATTTTTGTGTGTCCGTAAACATGTTTCAAGGAATAAAGCATAAGATTATAGTGTTACAAATATGCAGAAATACAGTAAATGGACAAAAACAAATAAATCTTATTTCAAACATGGTTTATTTTCAGTAAATACATGAGCCAGCTTACATTTTGTGTAAAACATCTATGGTAGCATGCTGCCTACAACTGCATAGATCTCTGGCAGCCTTTTTACACCAACTTTGGTCATTAATTGTTCCTCATATGAAAGTCAACTGACATAGTACTTGCAGCAAATAAATCAGTATGTGGCCTTAAGGTTGTTTTGGGCAATTGAGTGTGTGTGCATCAAAAAGCATTATGTAGCCACTAGTGTCTTTATTAATACAGACCATTAATTAGCAGGGAAATGGAAGAAAAAGAGATACAAGACAAGATTTCTGTTTGGAGTATTTTTCTCTTGTCCAAATCTTTATAGTTATGACTTTAATCATTTATTTTCTACAGGATTCATTCCTAAACTTTAGGATTTCTGGTTAGTGATTCTTCCAGATAATGTTTAAAGCTAATACTGGAAAAATCCATCTTTTCCTCTGAATGAGAAGTGCCTTGCAATAAAACAGAAAAGTTCTCTTATCTGATTGTAATACTGCATGTGGCTTTTGAGCTGAAATATTCTCCCCAAATTAATGGATTTTTATTACTATTAGGAATGAATGAAATTGCTATGTAGGTCCCCAGATATGATTCAGAGGGACATATTAAAATATGCAGGCAAAAAGGGCAATGATTCCTGTAAAATAGCATTAGTTCGTTCGTGCCTCACATCAAACATTATCCATCAAGGATTAGGAAGCAGATTTCCTTTTGGAAGAAAATCGTCTCTAGAGCAATGCAGAAGAATGCACAATAGGAAATAAAAATTTCCTGTTATCCTCCACAGTTTTGTGTTGGCAGCGACAGTGTGTGTTTGAGATTATGCAGGGATCATATGACTGATTCCATATTAAAATTATATACTGAGAATATAAAATGTTGATTTCTCCAGTTTTTAAAAATAAGAAATATAGCCTTATCATTTGACGCTAAAACAACTGAGCAGAAAAATAAACAAGGTACCCTATAGGGAACTGGTGCATGAAGAGCGTGGATGAGGAGGCATAAGCCTCCAATAACTAAGGCTGTGCATAGTATCAGTGCTGCAAACAGGGATAGCTAACAAAAATATTTGTATTATTTTTATGAGTTGCAAGAATGATTGCAGAGATTCCAGAAATCGAGTGCTGAACAGTGACAGGTGACAAGGTGTGATGTGGACCGAGCCCACATCTCACATCAGCACCAGTGACAGACAAGGAAGGCACACAAAAGCCACTTGGAAGACATTCTAAAGTTACGTAAAGGGACTTGCACTGATGATACAGACTTGAATGAAGAGAATTATCAGCGCAGGTAGCAAACAGGGCATTAAGGCTACTAAACAACTCTGTGGTTACCGTTATCAGTTGAAATCTGTTTTTGTTCAAAGCGAAAATGGGTTGCATAAGAAGACTATTCAGCCACCAGAAAATAAATAAGGCAATATGTACTAGGGTTTGACTCAACCTCTTTTTGCAACTGTTTTTGGATGTTTTAGAGGAACATCAAAGACTGAAACAGCCCACTTATATTCTTATATACTTTATTTTAGGCTCTACACTTCTTGACGTGCAGTAGTGCTTTCATATGTTCTCCCCCAGCTTCTACATAGAGTTTGGGTTGACCAAAAATAAAGGAAGATTTGTTTAGTGCATCAGGCTGGCATCATACCCGAGGTAGGCAACACATCACTATCACATACTAGTGATGACAAGAGTAAGCAGAAGTATTGAAAGGAACTAGAGGCAGCCTTAAAAACAGTAAAACTGATGGGAGGTGTTTTCTCTTTTTAAACTCGCTCTCTTCCCTTCCCTTGTTTTTAACATTCATGTCAAGTAGAGATAGAACAAACCAAATGTAAATCTCGAGACAGAATTAATACATTCAAACATTTCCCCCAGCCATGATTTTGCAGATTTAAGACTAAGTTCATAGAAACAATTAACATTTGTGAGAATGAAATCGCCTTTGCATTTTAAGAGAACCTTTGCCTTGTTCATGCACAGATTCTTAAACTGAGACTAGAGAGAAACCTCCCCACTCTACAAAAGTTATTATTTCAATGCACTTTTCTTATATTTTGATACATGTTCATATGCTTACAATGTCTCTCAGATACCCTGCAAGGAAATGGATGCATGGACAATACAAATATTTCAAAATATGCTCTTGTCTGGAATACAAGGGGATCAAATATATTTTCAAGTACTTAGGGACTTTAATAGAAAAAAGTACAGTTAAGTAAGTGAGGGATGAGTTTTCTTTGGCAAGGATTTCATCAAATTGAAGGAGTTACTGCCTTAAACAAAGCAAAGTGTCAAAGGACTAGTGCGCAGAATGCTCTCACTCCCTTAACCATGGTTATATGATCGGAGTAGATTGTGGTGTCTCACATTCCTCTCCTCTGGCATGAATTTCCCTGCTATGGCTGAGTTGCATTGGTACTGACTTCAACCATGCTTAACACCAGCCAGGTTTTGCCAGTATGAAAAAAACAGAGAGTGAAGCTGCTTAAAATAAAACATTGGTTGATATTAACTATAGTTAATATTAGTGTTGCTGTAAACCTTCACCATAGTTAACACTGGTGTAGAAAATTCATACTGGAGAGGAGTCAGGTGAGATCCCACAGGCTGCTCCAGAAGATCCCATATCTTTCTCTCTTAAGGAGCTCTGTCTCTAGTGATGCCAAAACGCTCTCTTCCCGATGACTATTTGAGGCAGGAACTGGCCAAACAAGGCTGTGACTTCGTGATAAGGAGCATTCCAGGCACAGTGGCCTCAAGTCCCTGCATCTAATCTGTGCATTTTGGGGGGTGTTTTGTAAATCTTGTACATAGGTATATAAATAAAAGGATGCTATCTCTCCTCTTCCTGGGCTGTTCAAAGCACCAGTGCCAAAGTTCTTTGTATGTCCAAGACGTAAGGGGGCAAGTGGTTCACAGATCAGTGCATGCCCAAGTGCAATAGCATCTAGAGTGCTTTTGCACCTGTTCAACACTTCTCTCCTGCCTCAAGAACCATTTAAATTTGATGGAGGGTAAGCATCTCAAACAAGGTGTTTCATAGCATTTCATGGACACCATGTGGTGCAAGCTTAGAAGGTATGCACCCCAATTCTATGCATGCTTAATTGGAAGCAAGTCCCAGTGTGTTTAATAAGGATTACTTCTAAGCAAGCACGCATATAATTATATCTACTAGACAGTGATAGTCCCCATTACGAGAAGTTATTTCAAGTATAACATTCAGTTTTAGATTTCAGCTAATCACTAGCACTTAGCATTTCACATGATCAGGGAGCCTAGTTTTGATTCAAGTTCAAAGGTTTAGTTAAGATTACATTATACTATACTATATATTCCCCTCTTGAGATGGGCTGTCTTCTATTTTATCCAAGCCATCGTGTTGAACCTGCAATGTAAATAGCAATTATCTGTAACACATACCATCATTAATCATGGCATGGACAAGTGTACAAATGTTGCAAGGTACAAATGTTATATGGAGAGATGTATGTAATTGCAGCTAAAGCAATACTGTACTTAGAATGTTTGTGCAATAGTATGCTGCTGCCCAAGCTTGAGCACTTACTGCATAGGCAGAGATGCTAAACTAGGTTATTTAAAAAACCAACAATTCCCTCCCACTTCAGCACCCGCAATGAGACATTAAGCAGTCTTTGAAACTGTACATTGAATTAAAAAACTGTACATTGAGTAGTGCCTTAAATACATGTCCAGCTAAACCGAATACTTTTTGTTTTGTTTTGTTAAACATTCAAAAAGAAATTCCCTTATAATTGGTGGTACCTTGAATAACGTACAATTACTCATCCACTGTAAACATATGTAAGCAGTCTATTACATATTGAATCAGATCTCTTTTATATAACAAACACTGAAAATCCAGTTCGCTATCACCATTATGACAATTTTCATGCTTACATAAGATGTTTGGCTAGAAGCTATTTAATAGCAGAAACTGAAAATGTGTCAAGATGATTATTTCATAGTGGCTCATTTAGTTAAGCACCCCCCTTAGTGCTCCTGAATGTTGGTCACTGACATTCGCCTTCATCTGTTCAGTCTCTGTGTCACAACCTCTCGGTACATTATAGATATATAGATGAGAAGCAGAAACACCACAAAGAAATCATCTAAAAACCCCAAAATTCCAAACAGGGCTTCGGGGAGAAAATCCAGGGGGGATGCCAGGTACAACAAAGCTCCCATGAGGCAGAGGAATATTCGGATGCGGAACATCCAGAAGAGACCGCCAACGGAAAACATTTCTCTGAACGCATGGCGCAATAACGTGGGCAAATCCATAATCCTTTCCATAATCTAAACAAAATGTAGAAAGACCAATTTTTGGTAAATGTTATACATGGTACATTTATCTCAGGGACTTTTGACACATATATTACAAGCTCACGTGCATTTACACAAATTGTAATATTGGTGAAAAAGCATGATAGTGTAATTCCTTCTTGGACTGTGTCCATGACCCTTTCCCTCAGTATCTCCCTCTTAAAGATCTATATTCTCATTCATAAGGACTCTGAATATAAACAGCATTTGGATCGGGGTTTTTTTTATACCAAGTACAAGATTAAACAAACACATGGGAAAAACAAAATATTGTTCAAGGTTTTACATTCAATACAAAACATGCTTAAATAAGACTCAATATTGAAACATCACTTTCTCTAAGTGTTAGAATGCTTTATATCTCAACAATCCTTACCCAAAAGAACCCAGAAGGCAGACCAATATTATTAATCATAATAGATTGCAGAGAGGGAGCGTGAGAGAGTGTGGCTTGCCAAAGCATCGCTAATGGGTTGGGGCAAGATTTCAACAAGGAGCCTTTAGGCCAGAGGTTGACAAGGTTTACCTCGCCTGGGCCGGTTCACTCCAGCGGAATCCCTCCATGGGCCAGATCGCGTGTCTGCCTGAGCGCCCCCCCCCCCAATTTCCGGCGTCTTGTGTCTGAGCAGACGTGATTTCTGGCGCCGTGGAAACAAGTCCCTGCACCATGCTGTGCCTGTTTAGCACAGCATGTGGGGACTCACCAAGCAGATGGCTTGGTTTGGGGGTGGCTCGTGGGCTGGTTAAACAACCCCCGTGGGCCGCTTGTGGCCCATGGGCCTTAGGTTGCCTACCCCTGCTTTAGGCTTACAGCTCCCTCTCTTAACTGCTACATAGCACAAACTCTTTTCTGACAAAGCTTGCTGAGTCTCTAAAGACATACAAAAGCTGGGAACTCTCCATGCCTGGGGCCTCTAAAGCTGGTATTTCTCAATTAAATCCCTTATTTTATTCCCAAAAATTCACCACATCAACAGGGATTATTATTTGTCTTGGGTGGGGGCCACAAATCTGGCTGGTTTTGCTGGCTGACACAAAAAAAAATGTAGTTTCTGGATCCCTCACGACAAAGGTCATTGTCTACTTCCTTCACCTCTGCAACACACTCAAATGCAAAGAGAATCCCTTGCTCCCTCACTGCAAATGCAAGCTTATTATGGCTAGGAAAGGGGGCGGGGAAGATTGTTCCTAGAATTACACTACACAGTGCATTATAGAAACAGCCCCAATGCTCCTCTCCACCTTGGAGCTAGAAAGGGATGAAGTGGGGACGAACTCTAGCACAAACGTGGGAACAAACTCTTCTCCATCTCCAAGGCTGGAAGGACGACTGGACCTGTCTCTGAAGCCCAGTTGCAAAACTGCAAAACCAGGCCTTTCTCTCCAGAGCTAAAGAACAAGGCTAGGGCTTGTCCTTTTGCGACCATACTCTTGAGTACCTTCAAAGCACTATAGCCAAACAAGCCCATTCCTCCTATGTAATGTTGTGTGCTACTGGTGAATGGAATTTGTACCCCTGGTCCCACTGACTCTATCCCCACACATACCGATCTTGGCTGTCCTGAGAATCTCCTGTTGTAATCGTTGACAGCCTGAAGAACCTGCACTGCATCCTCTTGTTCTTCATTGAAGAGTGGTAAAAATAAAGTTACCTGAACACAATAGAAAATTGAACATTTAATACCTGCATGCAAACTTTCCCCCCTTTCCACTGCAGTGATTTTAAAACAGGGGTGACGAATCTGTTGGCCCTCCAAATGTTGTTGGATTCTCAACTTCCATCCACCGCTCCCTCCATGGCCACTGCTCAGGAATGATCGGAGCTGAAAAGCCACAGGTTCCCCACCCAAATTTTAAAAGGTTACAGAAAAGCCATACCCTAACAAATGACGTGCTCTAGCATAAGAACAAAATATGTGACTGTAAATATTCTTACTAGGTGTCTCTTACAACTACAGGCGTTACACATACCATACAGCTCAGAGAAATTTGACAGTTCTGAAAACCAAGGTGCAAAGCACTTGCAAAGTAGTCCAATACATTAGAGTAGCATTATCCATAGTCTGAAGCAAAACAGGAAACAGCCCACAATATAAATATAGCATCTCACTATAAATATTCATCTGGATGGCTGCACAAAGGAGATTTTAAAACGTGTTAAATTATTACCTGCGCATAAAATGTTACCAAGACTACACATGCCCCATATCACATTACACACAAACATGTATTATTACACAAACACATGTATCATTACAGAGGCATGATTTCCCAAGAACTTGAGCCTAGAGCTGTATTCTGCCATGGGAACTTTGCCTCTAATTTTGATTACAAAGGGGGACCAGCCTCAGGCCACTGAATCCCCATGCAGTGGGAATCAGGGTTTTTAATTATTACAGAAATGCAAGACTATGTAAGACCATATAGTATTAAATTCTATGTAGAATATAAATATGGTTAACAGGCATATAATGCGTAACAGATTTCACAAGACATCACTATGGCTAGGCCAACAACTTATACTTGCTTAATTTTATACAGATAGATGGAGGTGGGGAATGTTAGTGTTGCCATATGAGGAATGGGAATGGCACTAGGGAACCCAGCAGGCTCAATGAAGGCCTAATAAACACAATAGGGAAACTTAAATGAAAATGGTGCAGATTTGGCCCAAATGAGAATACCCTTTATTAGATGCGGGGACCAGAAGCACATAGTATTCCAAATGTACTCACACAATAGATTCGTACAATGGCATTATGCTATTGGCAGTTTTGTGTTCAATTCCTTCCTCATGATCCCTAGCATAGAATTTGCCTTTTTCAGTTGTTGCACATCTTCATAGAGCTATCTACTACAGCCCCCAGATCTCATTCCTAGTCAGATACTGCCAGTTCGGACCCTATGAACATATATGTGAAATTAATATTTTTTTGCCCCAACATGCATCACTTTGCACTTGAATTGCATTTGCCATTTTACCACACATTCACTAAGTTGGGAGAGATCTTTTTGGAGCTCTTTACAATACCTTTTTTAACAGTTGTGAACAATTTAGTATCATCAGCAAACTTGGCCACCTCACTGTTCAGTCCTAACTCTTGATGAAGAAGTTAGAAAGCACAGGTCCCAATACTGATCCTTGGGTGACTCCACTTTCTACATCCCTCCATTCAGAGAACTGTCCATTTATTGCTACTCTCTGCTTCCTGCTACTTAATCTATTTCTGATCTACAAGAGGACCTCTCCTCTTATTCTATGACTGCTAAGCTTACTAAGGGGTCTTTGGCAAGGGACCTTTTCAAAAGCTTTTCAAAAGTCCAAGTGCATGATATCAACTGGATCACCTCTATCAATATGCTTGTTGACTTTCTCAAATAACTCAGATATGTTTGTAAGTTAGGACTTCCCCTAGCAGAAGCCATGCTGGTTCTGCTTCAGCAAGGGTTGTTCTTCTATATACACAGAATCATAGAATTGTACAGTTGGAAGGGACCACAAGGATCATATAGTCCAACTCCCTGCAATGCAGGAATGTTTTGTTCAACACATGCTTGGTTATTTCCCCCCCTTAACCAGTATTTTTCAAATGTCACAAAAACAAAAATCCACAAATAAAAAATGCAAAATAAATATCAAAAACAGACAGTCCTCAGCATAACACTCAAAACAGAAGCGTAACACTCAAATCGGAAGCGTAACGTTCAAAATGGAGCACGTTCGGTTTCTTAAAAGTTCGCAAACCAGAACACTTACTTCCGGGTTTGCAATGTTTGGGTTCCAAGTTGTTTGAGTACCAAGGCGTTTGAGAACCAAGGTACCACTGTATTAGGCCTAGAACTTCATCTAGTGTCCCTGCTATCTGCCTCAGTTCCTCTGACTCTCCTGCAAAAGTTAGTCCAGACACTAGAATTCCTGGGTGCCATTCAAGTCCAGGGTCACCACCCCTCTGGTTGGTTCCATGACCAACTGTTTTAAGGAACAATCATTTAGAGTATCTAGAAATTTTACCTATTTGTTGTGACTCGAACACAAATGTAGCAAGTCTATGTGAGAGAATTGAAGTCACCCAACATTTCCCCCTTGGGATGCTTTCTTGGTTTCATTTTTTATCTCATGATCTCCCTGAGCGTTTTGATCAAGGGGACAATAGCACATCTCTAGTACTAAATTGCTTTTGGGGCCCAGTATCACTATCGACAATGATTCTGTGGAGGTGTCCACCCCCTTTAGCTTGCTGGACTCAATGCTCTCTTTGATGTACAGAGCAGCACCATCTCCAATACATCTTTCCTATGGCGTTTATATCCAGAGATAATGTGTCCCACTGGTTCTCTCCACTCCACCATGATTCTGTTATACCTACTACATCAAGACCCTCACTCTCCCTGGAGCTATCACTGTGGAAGTGGAACAGAGCTATAATGTCCCTGAGGGCCTCATCCACCACTCTCTCTTCCTCTCTAAGCTTTTCCAGATATGCCGCCTTGGCCTCAAGGAAACAAACTTGTTCCTGAACAGACAGGAGCTCATTGTGCCTTGGACACACCCACAACTTCCATCCAAGAGAGTTCTCAAATTTTGGGGTTCTCAAATTTGGCTGGCTTTGCTGGCCAACCAAAAGATGTTGTTTCTAGTCCCCTCCCCACAAAGGGTGGGGGCTTCTTCCTCCATCTCTGTAACACAGTGCCAAGTCAGACAATTCCTGACTCCTCAACCCAAATTCAAGCTTGGGGCTTGGGAAGGGGTGAGAATTGTGCCTTAGAATTAGATTACACAGCCTGGGCTTTTCTCAGAGCCACAGCTGCAAAACTACAAATCCTGGCTGTGCTGTTGATAGCCAAAGAGGAAGGTTAAGACATGTCCTTATCCTGCTTTGCTTCTGGAGCGCCACAGGTACCTCAGAAGCCCAGTCCTTCTTTCAATCTTGCAGCTGGGGAGGGGACTGTCCTTGTGGATTTCAGAGGTACACTAAATGGAAGGACAATCCTCAGCTCCCTCTTCAGCTCCCAAGGCTAGGCTGGCAGGAAAGCTGGATGCAACAGATGGGTGAAACTATGGGTCCCTGGTCTTCCTGACTCTGTCCCTACACATACCGATCTTGGCTGTCCTGAGAATCTCCTGTTGTAATCACTGACATCCTGAAGCACCTGCACTGCATCCTCTCGCCCCTCACTGAAGAGAGGTAAAAATAAAATTACCTGAACACAATAGAAAATCAATTACTTAATAATTTTACATGGATTGTTTCCTTTCTTATACTGTATTTTTAAAAGGTTACAGAATGTAATGTGTGGGGTTTTTTTTAAAGCCAACTAATGATGTGTTGAAGCATAAAAGCAAAATGCAAGCACTAAGATGGGTGCAGCTGTAGTTATCTTCTTATAACCACAGAGATTAAAGTTACTGTTGAGCTCAAAGAAATCTGCAAGTTCTGAAAACCAGGATGTTTGGCTGTGAACCACCTGCCAAATTTGTCCATGATATTACAGTAGAATTATCCACAACCCAAAGCAAACAGGAAATTCAGTCCATAAGATTGGTTTGAATGGTTGCAGGGGAGAGACTTAAACATTGAACTATTATCTACATATGAAACTATGTTACCAAGACTACACACACACCCTGATCATGTCACTTGCCCTTAGTTTCAGCTGTACTTTTTGTTAGTTTAGAGATATCTTCACTTAGAGATAGAAGAACTTTAGACCAATCTTATGCTAGTTCTTCACAAATCTATGAGACTAAGCTTGCCATGGCATCTATTTCATCTTGTTTCACTGTGTCTGCTTTACCCCCTTTAAGGTGCTTAGCTGTCATGATGTTGTCTCTGAAACAGGAATTACCAGGGAGGAAGAAATCCAGGAGTCAAAGTTTCCTTTTTCGGTCCTGTGTTTGCTATGAGGCATATCCCATAAGCACTGCTCACTTTGAACACACTATAAAACATATAGGTGGCAGCATGTTGCTATTATTTTGTGAGCTGGGACAGAGCAATAGGTTGTTCTGTAATTGATGATGACATCACTATTCTCCCCACTTAAAGAGATTTTTGAAACAAATGTCTTTAATTTTTTTTTAATGTGCAGGTTCTATGGGATTATTAGTTGGCTTTGATACAAAGATTAATGTAGATGCTGCTCTGGTATTCATAATCTAAAATGATGCCTAGCATTAGATTCTAAAGCAAATGCTATTCTACTCAGGTATCAATGGTATTCTGTATATTCCTGAAGCATAAACATGTAAAAACTTTGAAGGGAAAGTTACCAAAAGTTAACATCAGAATTTTGAATATCAGCTTATTACCGTTTGCCTGCAGATAGGGCAATGTATTGCACCTCCCCATGGACCACACCTCCAGTATGCAATAATGCAGGAACCTAGATAAAATAACACCATTACTATTTTCTTAAACTGACAGTATCCCAAATAGAAGTTGCTATTTCAACAAACACTCAAAAATGATGAGCTGATCCAAATGATAAGCTGATGCAACAGTGTCATTTTGTGGGGTGAAAGGACTATTTTCTCCACAACACATTAAATCATCTGTGCAAATCAGTATCTTAAGAAATCTTTACAAACAATATTGAAATAGGTGTCAATCTACATTTTTAAGCGGTTGCCAGCTTTAAATGCCAATGATGCCTAACCTTTCTTATGAAACTGGTATTATGAGTTGCTGTGAGCCTCTTACACAAATAGACATAAAATATATATGAAGTGGGACAGGAATAAAAATGTGCAGTAATTTAATATATTTGCTATAGCAATTATCATTTTTACATTTTTGGACATAGTTTAAATACCTGTTAGAAACAACTAGTATCTAACACAGTCAGCTGAATGAAAACAATCAAAGGGGAATTCCATGCTGCTGTAAAACTAATCCACATTTTCAAAAGCACCTTTTTCTGTACATCATTTACTTAACACATCTTACCAGCATAACAGAGTGCAATAAGTGATGCAAAAACGTATTTTGCTTACCACAAAAAAGATGTCCACAGTTTGTTTCAATGGGAAATGTAGCCTGTTGTAAACACACTGGGCATGACATATCAGTATAGAAACGTTGTCTGTCTTCAAGTACATGCTGCTGGAAGAAATAAGAAGTGTCACCTGTTCAAGCAGAGCAAATCGCTGTACCTGCCAGAAGCAGCAAACTAATCCTTATTGCAAGATCTGAAGAAAGTGTTTCTCACAAGTATATTTTCCTGACTGTATTCTCACATAAGAACAATCATACAGTAGAAAATGAAGGGCAGAAACCCAACTTGTTAGCCTACAGAGTCTAAAAAAGTAAAAACAAAACACTAAGTTAATTAAAGCAATGAGAATATATTAACTTAATCTGTAAAACCAATGAGAAAACTATCTAACAATGTACCCTGAAAAGGCCTTGTTGGATTAAAAAAAGTCTTAAGGATTTGCCTAAAAGAACCAATTGTTGGGTGTGGATTCCAAAGTACGGGTGCCACCACACAAAGTTCTTTCCTGGGTACTCATTAAATAAACTTTCTGGCCTAAGGGTTCAAGCAGGATGATACGAGGAAAGGCCACATTAACAACACCATAAAGGTTGGTGATTTTGTCCTCAAAGTGCCTAGCAAAAGAGTCATAGCACATTCCCAGAAGGTTCAAGTCTGTGTGTACTGAAGCTGGTTTCATCAGACCATGGACCACTCGCTGAAGAGTTCTAAAAGGTAAAGGTAAAGGACGCCTGACAGTTAAGTCCAGTCGCAGACAACTCTGGGGTTGCGATGCTCATCTTGCTTTACAGGCCGAGGGAGCCGGCGTCTGCAGACAGTTTTTCCCGGTCATATGGCCAGCATGACTAAGCCACTTCTGGTGCAACGGAACACTGAAACCAGAGCAGCGCATGGAAACGCCGTTTACCTCCCCACCGGAGCAGTACCTACCGTATTTTTTCTCTATAAGACTCACTTTTTCCCTCCTAAAAAGGGGAAGTGTGTGCTGCACAGCTATCCCAGAAGCCAGAACAGCAAGAGGGATTGCTGCTTTCACTGAGCAGCAATCCCTCTTGCTGTTCTGGCTTCTGAGATTCAGAATATTTTTTTTCTTGTTTTCCTCCTCCAAAAACTAGGTGCATCTTGTGGTCTGGTGCGTCTTATAGAGCTAAAAATACGGTATTTATCTACTTGCACTTTGTGGGTGTGCTTTTGAACTGCTAGGTTGGCAGGAGCTGGGACCGAGCAACGGGAGCTCACCCCGTCATGAGGATTTGAATCGCTGACCTTCTGATCAGCAAGCCCAAGAGGCTCTGTGGTTTAGACCACAGCGTCACCCACGTCCCACAAAGGAGGCAAAGGCCTATGGCACCCAGTATTCCCAGGTGGTCTCCCATCCAATTACTAACCAGGCCTGAAGCTGCTTAGCTTTCAAGAGCAGGCATGTTCAGGGTAGTATGGCCGTAGAATGAAGAGTTCTACCAAGTGGCTACTTTGGGATGTGACGGAGGCTATGAAGTAGACTTTATTTGCTGCCTACACCACCACACAGGAGGCATGATTATCTGTTCTAACTCATTTGAAGGAGCCTTTGAAGTTGCAGATCAGGTTGACTGTCAGCTGGCCCCACCTGCAACTTTAAAGCTCCCCATTCTCAGGCAAGGAGCCTGCTGAGAACGGGGAAGTCTTCTCAACTGAGGGATGGTTGTGTCTGTGTTTTTATTTTGCTCCTTCCTTAGCACCATTCCCTCCTGGGACTGCACACATACAGAGTCAATCTTTCCCCCCTCCTTTGGGCTTCCTCCAACCCCCAAATGTTTCTTTTCTTTTAAATGTGTACCTCTGTCACTCTCAGTGTTGCCTCAAGCATGCCAATGCTTCCTTCTTGTGCATATGCTATGCCATTTTCTTTACATAAGTCACAGCACCCATCCTTGAACTTGGGAAACAGAGGGAATAGTCTCCAGCTATTACAAAAGGTTCATGAGACATGAATTCTATTCTCTAGCATCCGTGTATTATAACCAGATTTGGCTCTAAAGGAGCACAAAATCCATGAGGTTCAGATTTATCTACCTCCTGGTCATCACATGAGAAATTATCTGAGAGTTGGCACCAAACGCAATTTATGCAAGGAAGAGCAGTTAGCATTATACCTGTTCTGATTGTATTTGTTGTCTAATTGCTCTCACTAGCTCTTGGTTTTCTGGATGAATAGCTGGGTGGGCATTTCTGTTAAGAGAAAATACAGTGCATAATACAATGCTAACAAAACACTTCAAAATCAGAGCTATACACAATGGAATTCATCTAGCATGTTCATAATTCTAAGATGCTTCAATTAACTGCAGGACAATGGCATTTTATGCAGTAGTAAGTCACTTGATCCAAACTTCAGCGCAAAATTCCTTCCCCCTGTCCCAGAGAGTAAGGGTAGTATCCAATGCTAGTCATACTATCATGAGTAGAGCCACTGAAATGAATGACCGTGTCTACCTTAGGTCCATTATTTCAATGAGTCTACTCTGGGTAGAGCTTCATTACATACAACTCTAACCCTATGTATATTTCCCCCCCCCCAAAAAAAATACACTATTAGCACATAAATGGAAAGCTTTTTAAAAAATATTTGAGTGTTCAAGGCTACAATCTTACTCATTCTTACCTAAGAGTAAGTCCCACCAAGTTCAGTGGGAGTTACTTCTGAGCAGACATGCACAGGATTGTGCTCTAGGATGAAAGTAATGACATCATTCCTTTATGTTAATGAATTTCTTATCCCCATCAAAGTATTCTGCATTAGTTTTCATCATATATTAATTTTGAAAATGGGCTATCTTAAAGCTGAATTTTCAGTTTTAAGTAGCAGCAGCTATGGAAACAGAGAACTTGGGTGGGAAAATATCATAGTTTTATTATGCTAGTTAATGCTCCAAGCTAGATAGGCTAAGGGTGTTAACATATACAATTTCTATGACTGGTTTTTCAGGTTAGGGTGTAGAGATATATATATATATATATATATATATATATATATATATATATTTGTAACTCTGCAGTGCAAAGATGCTTTCTCTGTCTCCTTCCCCAATTTGGCTAGTGTTGTAAATATACCAAGTATGAGTAGCATGCAGGACTGGACGTCATCTAATTTGGCCCAAGCTCAGTAAAAGCTTTGTGGGTGAAGGGAGATTTTAATCAACCCTACTGACTTTCTAGTTTGATTCTTTGAAGTGCTGCTTCCAAGAATGTGCAGTCAAAAAACAGGTGTGTTGTATCATTAAAAATATTTTAAATTACTTTAAATATATGTGCCTGACACATTACAAATACAGTAGGTCATTGTCAAGTACTACCAGTATCTCACCTTAAAAGCATGTATGCCAGTGCAGCAAGGAATGTGATGCTGAGCACCACTGCCAGCAGGACCTGGTCACTTATTCCTTCGATCATTGAATCACTATCTAGGATCAATCTCTGAACTTCTGTTTCTTGGCTGGCCATTCCAAAGCTAGAATCCAGGAAAGACATGCATTCTGATTTATACATGCGCATAAAAATTATTCATGCTTAGCTCACATCTACAACTAAAAAGGAGTAGACAAAAAACGCTTGAAGTTGCCACTGGTCTTCAAACTTTAAAATCAAACTGTGTTCTGTGACAAGTTGGCACACTGGTAAATTTCCACATGGCCAAACTCCATGTCACACATACCCTGCTACATTCTAGAATTCTAAAATTTCATGGGATTTCATGCGGTGACATGTGCTTAAATGGATGACAATTCGGACAATAGGCAGTGGGAATAGCCAATAGCTTAATGACACATCCAACACAATCCAGTCTCAAATGTGTTGCCAGTGGAAAGTATGCACTAGAAGTGACAAAAATCAAAACCAGATAGACAAGCCATGTGCTACATAGTAAGACAAACATATAATATCATATATGCAATATACGGCACTTATTATCCTTTAGAGGAGGTCCAGTCCCATTTAACAGCTAGGCAGCACAGGCACAGTAATAAGGTATTACAGTGGTGCCCCGCAAGACTATGCCTCGCAAGACGAAAAAACTCACTAGAGAAGAGTTTTCCATTTCTGCGGTGCTTCGCAAGAGCGAATTTCCCTATGGGGCTTGCTCGCAGACGAAACGTCTTGTTGAGTTCTTGCCAGTTTGTTTCCTTTTTCTTTAAAGCCAGCTAGCCGTTAATAGCCGCAAGGCCGGCCTAATAGCCGCTAATAGCGCGTGCTTCGCAAGACGAAAAAAACGCAAGACGAAGAGACTCGTGGAACGGATTAATTTCGTCTTGCGAGGCACCACTGTAGTCCAAAATCAGTCAGTTAAGCTATGGCACAGAATTCTGAAGCAGAATGGTGTGTGCTTCGGGGCATATACAGAGTGCTTTCCCCCCAGCATGAAAAAGTTGCAGCCTACTCTGTCATCACAGAATTAAGAGGATTACAGGGTAATGGTATATCTGCCCTATAGATTAAAGCTCCAGCATCTCCCTTGAAATTGAGTACTAACTCCACCTCCATTGCCAGACAACTGAACCAGAGAACACATACACAGTGTTCCCCTCCATACAATAATCCATGCTTTGTTTTCAGTTTTCCAGCAACTCTTCACAATAACATGCTCTTTCTTCCTCCACTTGTGTTACAGACAAGCTGTCCTTACTTGTTCTACTTTCCAAACTTCTCCCCCAAAGTCTGGAAAATTAATTTGTGCTAAGACATCACGAGGGCTTAGCCCAGGAGTCTGTTTTCCATACCAGGTGTGAGTCCTGGGAAAGCCCATCTGAGCATATGCAGACCACTTTCCCCTTCCCACTGAACAACCGTGGTCTCCTGTTTGCTCACACACTTAGAATTCAAATTTCCCTCCCATTTTTATGCAATTTATCAATATATCAGAGAAGTTGATGGCAGACTGAATCAAGCACTTTCCTCATCCAAACTACTCCTATCTTCCATCCTGACCACTTCAATCTTCTGTTGCACCGCCAGCTGGCTTTTCCAGTTTTGGGAGGAAATTAGCTAATTGTAAATGCATTTAATAACACTGAGCCTTCCCTGTATAAGGAAGCTTTTTAATGTGTAATGTTTTATTATGTTTTTATATATGTTGGAAGCAGCCCAGAGTGGCTGGGGCAAACCAGTCAGATGGGCGGGGTACAAATAATAAAATTATTATTAGTGGTAGTAGTAGTGGTGGTGAGATGTGTAAATGCATTTAAGATGATAATTTTATGCCAATTTCTTTGCTTGCCTTCCCTTTTCCTTTTTATGCTTGCATAAATTGATTTTCAGGTAAGCTTCCCCTCCTCAAAGGACATGACTGAAAATGCCAATGGGTAAATCCTTTTGTTTAGTGACATGACATTGACAACATCAACTCCTTCTATTTACCTCATCTGGAAGACTCAGCACCATGTCATTTGCAGCTTTCTTCAGGCCCACAGCAAATGTTTCACACACAGCATCTGAGAAACCGCTGTGCTGTACTTGCAAAAAGAGAACATTTTCAGGCTACTTTTTAAAATATACTTCAACACAGCATATGTTTACATTATTTCCACACCTGCAGATATAGGCTTGAGTAATTTCTAATCCCACACAGAGTAAAGTGCAGCTGTATGTATATAAAACAAGTCAGGTCTGGAATGGAACATGCTATTAAATCATCCCTATCCACTCAAGAAACATACAGAGGTGCAAACATTAAGAAATTGAGGTGAAATTTGATGAAAGAGCTAACATTTAAAAATATTAAGTTGGATATAAACAAGTATCTACTTAATCTGTCTCTGTTTTGGGTCACTCTCCCTCTATCTCCAATTTGGGGAAAATGCTAGCAGTGTTATCTTGCACCTTTCTGTGCATGGCAATCATTCATGTTTGCCAAAATTCAGAAGACCTGTTAACTACTCCTCAAATATGCAAATCTGAAGTATGCTATTAAGCATAGGCGCCGACTCCATGGGGCCTGAGGGGGCCCGAGCCCCCTCAAAAATTCGATTGGGGGGGCAGAGCCCCCCCAATAATTTAAGAAAATTATTAGTGCGCGAACCTTCGTGTAAAGTCTGGCGGGCCAGCGCTGCGGCCGCGGCGACATCAAAAGGACTGGAGAGTCCTGAGGAGATTGCACGGCGGGGGAGAGAGAGAGGGAGAGAGAGGCAGGAGGTGCTCTCGCTCGCCGCGCGCACGCACACGCAAATACAAACACACCGAGGGAGAGGGAAAAGTGTTTTGCAGGAGGAGCTGCTGCCGCCGCCGCCGCTGCTGCCAGGACGCGCCAGAGGAGCCGCCGGGTGGGAGGGGGAATCCGAACGGAACAACAACAAGAGAGAGAGAGAGAGAGAGAGAGAGAGAGAGAGAGAGAAGCAGCAGCATCTCTGAATGGGCTGGATATTCCTCCTCAGGCGGCGCTGGCTCTGTGGCTCCCGGGGCCTGGGCGGCAGCAAGCAAAGCAAAGGAGCCGCCGACCGAACAGCAGCAGCAGCCGCCTGCCTGCAAGCCTGCCTTCTATACCAAGGTCCAGGTTCTTACCCGGTCTACCTGGAAGAAGGCAGGCAGGCAGGCAGGCATGGGACGTCCACGCACCCTGGCCTGCTACCTTCCTGCCTGCCTGCGGCCGCCTGGCGCTTCTATACGAAGGTACAGGTTCTTACCCGGTCTACCTGGAAGCAGGCAGGCAGGCAGGGGACGGCCATGCTGCCTGCCTGCCTGCCTGCAGCCCGCCTGTCGCTTCTATACAAAGGGCCAGGTTCCTACCCGGTCTACCTGGAGGGAGGCGGGCAGGCACGGGGGTCCTGCTCAAGCAAGGAACCGACGCCTACCCGGCCAACCCGCTGCCTTGAGGCAGGAGCAGCAGCTGCGCGGGGTCTCGCGTTCTCTCAGAGGCTCGCGCTGCTTCTCGCGTTCTCCCTCCCCCAGGACCCCGGTATGGGCCCCCCCAATATTTTTTATAAGTCGCCGCCCCTGCTATTAAGTAATCAAGAACAGCTACTCCTTCGCTATGGAGCAAAGATGCTGTTGGGCCTAACCCATGGTTAGCTGTTGTGCGGGAAGTGAGATGAACTGAACTTAACCCTAACAGGGATGTGCTTGAAATAGGATCTGAAACCATGATTTCAAGTTGGTTAAAGAGGAACCACAGTTAACCCTAAACTGCAATTGGGTTAATGTTACTACTGATCAGCTTGCTGAAGGTACATCCAGCAGGGGAATTGCATTTGAAAAGGAACAGAGTACGGAGAAGAAAATATGCACATAACCTGTGACTCAAAATATTTTGAGCAGTACTTGGTTAAGGTTTGCATCCAAGGAAAGGAGACAGACCAAAAGCAACCGCAGTCCCATCAGTGTTTACAAATATACATACATAGACTGGTGAGTGCTGATAAAAGCAGAAGCATTTACTTGTATCTAGCAAAACCAGGATGAGAGCTGCTACGAAAATCAAAAACACAACAAGAAAGCAGAGTGCAGGGGAGAAAAACAATTTTATTGCCTTTAGCAAATAGAATTTTTGAAGGCCAATTTAATTTACTGGCCCCACGGCAAAAAACTCAAGTTATTCACATTCTTTTTTTTATTTCCATCGCTTCTTGAATAAGAACAAAGCACCACAAAACAGCTACATTTTAATTACAACAGATGCTTTTATTCTTGTGAGCAAAGTTTTCTTTCTTTTTTGAAAAAAAAAAGCACTGAATTTTAAGGTCACAAAAGAACATGTTGGTGCAGATGTATTATTTCACTAGGCTTTTGAATAGATAGCTAATAAGAGAGACACTGAAAATACTTTGTTAAATGCTTCTCATGTGGTAAAGCTGGAATTTTGCCACATGGCATGGTTCAGAAATACTTAGAATGCCCTCCAGTGTCGGATGGAATAAATAATTGTAACTGGACAGTCAAAATAAAATGAAATCTTAATTGCATCTGCTTAGCCTTAGAGGCAAGTCCAGCTAATTTCAGCACGTTACGTAATTTCAAATAATGTGCCCTGATCTTTTTATATCCTTCCAGAGTAACTACATTTATTGTACTCCTTTCTTAATGTTAGATAAAAGACTCCTATGCCCTCTCACCAGGGAGTAAGTCCCATTGAACTCAATGAAATTTAGTTTTCAGTAGACCTTTATAGGTTTACACTGTCAGCTGCCACTGGCAAACCACAGCTTCTGCTCTTCATGTAAAATGCACAATGGGTATGTAAGACTCTTAATATTTGAGTATACAAGTAACCCTTTTCTATAGCTGCCTTGAATACATGTTGCCTCGTAATCTGCATTCCTGAGTTAATCAAGGCCATTTTAATAAAAGAGACTTAAATTGGCTTTTCTGTGGCTCACATCTGTGTGATGGGGAAAAGAAACGGAAAGCAACAAAAATGTATGTAAGAGTTATTTTCTATAGTGCCATTTTCTATTTCCAGGAGGATCAATTTAAATTGAACAATAGAAACTTGGTGAAAAATGAATTCGCAACATTTAACTGATTGCAAACTCCCATAAGTAACTGTTTTGGAACCTTTTTTGCCCTGAATAGTTAGGCTATGTAGTAAAGCACAGGCAGTGATGTCTATAGTGTAACCATTATAATTTAAAGAAAGTAAGCTTAAATAAATATGCTGATCACCCAACCAATAAGTGTAAAAGCAAAATGTCAACATTTTGTCCCCTTCTTCCAAGTTGTGATCACACTTTAGCATGACCAAGAAACAAAAACTAAAATAGGGGTGTGCAGATAAAAGAAAGTACTGTATTCACTCTTGTCTAGTTTTCAGCTTCACCAGATAACCCAGGTTCTAGTATCATACAAGAGGTAGTAAAACCTTTCCCTAGCCATTTTCTCCACACCACGCATAATTTACACGGCTCCCAACCTCTTTTCTAAGTTAAAAAGCCCCAAGTGTTTGACCTTTTCTCCAGTTGCCTCAGTTATTTGATCATTTTGATTACCCTTTTCCAGCTCTACAACATCCTTTTTGATGTGCAGCAATTGGAACTTTACAAAGTATTCTAACTGTAGCATCCATTTCCTCTCTAGCGAGTGGGAAGTTCAATAGTAGAAACGAGTACGGAAAAATTATCTGCTTCTCACTTTCTTTTAGCTACCCTTTTACATCATGCATGCAGCACAATCCAAGAGCTTCTCAGTTATCTGCTGTTCAGTTTCATTGCTTCACTTTTCACATGGGTTGCTCATTTCACTGTTTTTCAAGTCCTTGAAAGATACAAGGAGAGGTATAGTTGCTGCTATGCCACTATGGCATAACTGGTTCTTCTGCCCATCTAATTAGGCAAGCGTGAGTGGTTACATGTCAGACTGATGACATTCACCTCCATCAGACAAATTTTAATCTGTGGTTAAAATTTAAATTTCTGATTAAAATTTCAATCAATTAATTTAACATTCAGATAAGACCAATTAAAGCTAAAGCCTTAAAATTAGAGAAAGATTTCTCGACTGCATTTCACATTTTATAAGTTTGTTCCTTGAAAAGTAACCTGAGTTATCTTCTACACCAGTGGTTTTCAGATTTTCTACCTTCAGAAAACTTTTTTAAGAATGCCTGTCTGCTGAGGAACCTGAGCATCTACTATTGAACCCTATGTGTACTGCAGAGAATTCCAGGGCCTCTTTTGGGGCAAATATCTGGCTTCACCAGCAGCCCATACAAACAATATTGCCCTAGGCCTATGGGATGCCAACCTTTTGGGGCTAGTGATCACTGCCACAAAATAGATGTCAAGGGACTTGCTAGTTATAAAAGCTGGCGTGGGTACCTTGCTAACAATTTGCCTAAGACACTGAGTACAAAGCAAAGCTAGAGTCTAACCCCATGAACCCAAATCCAATTTAAATTTGTTAATCATCTGGTATATAGAGTAGATAACTTGTGGGGCATCATGGCAGCCTTATTGAGGCAGCATGGATCCCGCAGGCACCTCCCATTCCTAGTTCTTGCCTGCAAGTCAAGATAGCAGAGAAAGGTTGGTAGGGATACCTTTTCATGGAATTCCATAATTGTGCTGAAGAACGTAAGCATTTCCTAGAATACAGTTTGGAAAACAGTGGTCTATATTAGAGGTTCTCAAAATGTCTATGTTCAGGGCCCACTTGAGAGGCTGAAAATTACCGAGGTCCATCAGTCACAAAATGGTGGTGCATGGGCAGAGCCAATAACATAATGGCAGCAGATGGCAATTTCCAAAGTGGATTGCATAGCAATAGAATATGCAGTTAGTAATTGCCAGCTGATTATGCCAATCTTTGTCTTTATCTGCTGCCTTTGTGTTACTAGCACTACTCCTGCACCATTTAGTGACTGGGGTGGGGTGGGTGCTCAATAATTTTCAGCCTGTATGGGAGGAGAACCCTTATGGTAGAGACATTACCGTATTTAGTTTAGAATAGGGAGTCAAATCAAACATGAATCAAAAACCAGAATGAACATTTATTTTTTTCCTAAACCATAAGAGAACTCAACCGTAACAGAAAGTCTCTGTTGAGTATGAACTGCAACAGAACTTTAAAAAAAATAGTTCAAATAAGTATTCATCTAAGCAACAAAACTCTTGATGTAGTACACTCTCTGGCTCACACAAAACCAGAACAACCACATAAAATAAATCCAGTGTGTGGGAGGGTTTATATATTCAGGTTTCTCCTGGAATTTTATACTCTGTCCTTTTAAAGGGCTGGGAAGCATTAGGCAAGGATTGCAATGGAGGCCTCCTTCTCCTTATAATAGGGGCTTGGTCAACATACAAGTTAAAAAATGGAAGAGTTGAACATGCAACACATACGCGAGGTGAAAGAATAATACAAAGTAAACAAAACAGTACATATTTATCAAATGTTCTTTACCTGTGCAATTAATGAGACCATATATGTAAATTGAAAATAGAAATAGGGAATAAACTGTGAAGCCAAACATGAAAAACCAATATTGCAGAAACAAAGAAAGAGATAAGGCGCTATCAGCGTACACAGAAATGAATAGTTGTGAAACACAAATCTTGATGGGGGAGGTAACAAGCCTTCCTCCAAGAAAAGGGGGAAGGATAGCACTGCTGGATTTGGCTATGTGTGTTCAGCAGAATGCCTGAAGACACCTTCAGTTGCAACACTGTTGGCTTGCTCCATCGCAATGAGCATCGTGTGCCTTTTCTTTTAAATTTATCATGTGAACTTGAATTGTACTAGTTACATTATGTGTACCAAATCAGTTGCTGAACTTTTATTGACATGAATTGCTACCAAACCAGAGCAACTGAACACGGACCCCAAAAATTAATGCTTTTATATTTTTGTTTACACATGGGAACTAAAAGGCAAAGAAAACCAAGAAAAAGCAGTAAGTGTATCCCAGTCCTACTAAAGGCACAGATGAATTCAAGACTCATGCTACTCAGAAAAGATGCCTGATCTATTGATATGTTAATTTATTACTTTAGCACTCTGAAAAGCCCATAGAACGTTCTCACTGTTCTGAGCACCAAGGTGCATCCCTTCCTAAGCAGGAGGACATCCAGAAAGAACACATAGCTAAAACTGTTGTTAGGAAGGGAAGATTATTGAATTGCCACCACACCTCTCATCAGGCAAGAAAGAGAAACTACATTCATGCTGAATGATTTCTTTCTCCATTGACAAGAATTCAAAAGTTTGTTCATATCTTCTCTCAGTGTGTGTTTACTCTCTTTCATATTTACAAAGGGCACAACGGGGAACTAGAAGGTTCCAATAGGCATTCTGAGTTATTCTTCCCTAGGGGTTGGCAAATAATGCTGAAAATAATGCTGAAAACTAAGAATGGCCTGGATTATTTGGTATTATATTCCTTTTTAGAAAGAAAACACGATTTTTTGTGTACAGGTAACTTTCAATTTAGGGACGTGGGTGGTGCTGTGGGTTAAACCACAGAGCCTCGGACTTGCCGATCAGAAGGTCGGTGGTTCGAATCCCCGCGACGGGGTGAGCTCCCATTGCTCAGTCCCTGCTCCTGCCAACCTAGCAGTTCGAAAGCACGTCAAAGTGCAAGTAGATAAATAGGTACCGCTCCGGCGGGAAGGTAAATGCTGCTCTGGTTCGCCAAAAGCTGCTTAGTCATGCTGGCCACATGACCTGGAAGATGTACGCCGGCTCCCTTGGCCAATAAAGCGAGATGAATGCTGCAACCCCAGTCGGCCATGACTGGACCTAATGGTCAGAGGTCCCTTTACCTTTACCTAACTCTCAATTTATGCAGGGGTTATGTTCCAAGGATACCACATAAAGCCAAAATCACATATAGTCAAAACACATTGGGTTCCATGGCAGCTGTGATTGTCAAAGTGCCCCCCCTGAATGACCACCCCTTTTCACCCCTTTTTATTTTTATTTACAGAGCACATAAAACCAAATGTGTGCAAGTTTAATTGCATAAGTTGCAAGTTACATGTACTTCATTTACTCAGTGTCTTAACTACACTGTTAAGAGCCTCACATCAATTATCTACACAATAAACGAAGAGACCCAAATATGTACAAACTGAATCTATACAATATAGATCTTAAAGGATAGTTAAATATAACAATGCAATACAGCATTGAAATAAATGTTCCAGGTAAAGATTTAGGAAAATCATTTTAAAACTTACCTAGAACATTCAATGTTTTGGAATAAGAAAATAAAACAACCTGGAAGGACCTTAGGAGACACCCAATGCAACCTCCATTTCAGTGCAGGATATACTAGATTTCAAGAATCTCCATTAGATGTTGGTCTATACTATTTTAATTGAGGTGCTTCTTACATATTAGCAAACTGTAAATGTGAGTGCACTATCTATTTGTGACCACAATAAGGACACATAGTGAACATAATTTTAACCACCCTGGCACACTCAAAATCTAAATGACAAAGGAGTGTATTTCACCACCAACTTATATGTGGAACAGAAAGCTGGTTCAAGTTAAAGAGTAACTTCTAAAGGGTAACTTGAGTCAAATTTGATTCTTATTATGAAAATACTTTGTAACTGTTCTGAGAGCCTATTTGGGTTATGAAGCAAGATACAAGTATCCAAAGGAAATACTGTAAATAAAAACTATTTCCTGTTCATTAGCATGAAGAACTGTATAAGGTTGTGATTATGTATACATGGTATTTTACTGAAGGGTGCACCCCACACGTACTACTCTCAGTGCATGTTTCGGATACAGCAGGAATTCTAGCCGGTTTTTTATATTATTATATAGCTGTGTACATGGTGCTTTATAGAGTAACATAAACTAGACAGGTATATAAGCAGAGAATGAGCAGAGGTAGCATTAAATGAAGGGCCACAACTCAGTGGTGCAGCATCTGCTATGCATGCAGAAGGTCCCAGTTTCAATCCCAGGTAGAATTAGGAATATCCCTAGTCTGAAATCCCAGAGAGCTGTTGCCAGTCACTGTAGACAATACTGAGCTTGATGGACCAATGGCCCAACTTGGTATAAGGAGTCTGCAATGATTTGTACTTAGTTTGTAACGAGGTGAGAGAGTTGAATCAGGCACAGAGTTGGACACCACCAAATGAACTGATCTCTGAAGCTACTTTAAGAGCATTAAACTCAAAGTCGTGTAAAGCTTCTCTCTAGGGGTAGCAAATATTTGGCCCTCTAGATCTTCCTGGGCCTCCAATCAGCTGCAGCCCCCATGACCAATGGTCAGGAATGATGGGAATTGTAGTCAAACAACACTAAGAGGGCCACAAGCTCTCATTTGAAGCATAGAAGCAGACTCCTAAAATCCCCCTCCCCCAGGGTCAGAAAGCAACAATAAACCCAACATACTAGGCCTTTCTCCTTTGCAATCCCAACTGATATTTAGTAAAGCTTCTGCAAGAACACAATTGTTAATTTCAGTAGGGCTTGCAAGAGCAAGTTTTCTAAGAATTTGTAGCTTGTGAACCATAATTCAGTAGTAGATTGCCTGAGTCACATGCAGCAGGTCCTAAGTTCAATTCCCTAGCAAGCCCTGTTAAAGGCACCAGCTTTCAGGGGCTTGGAGAGATTTCTGAGGCCTGGAGAGTTGCTGCCAGTCAGAGTGGACAATACTGGGTTAGCTGGATACAGTGGTGCCTCGCAAGATGAAAATAATCCGTTCCGCGAGTCTCTTTGTCTAGCGGTTCTTTCGTCTTGCGAAGCAACCCTATTAGCGGCTTAGCGGTTTAGCGGCTATTAAAGGCTTAGCGGCTAAAAGGCTATTAGCGGCTTAGAAAAAGGGGGGGGGAGCGAAAAAAATCGCAAGACTCGCAAGACGTTTTCATCTTGCGAAGCAAGCCCATAGGGAAATTTGTCTTGCGAAGCACATCGAAAAACGGAAAACCCTTTCGTCTAGCGGGTTTTTCGTCTTGCGAGGCATTCGTCTTGCAGGGCACCACTGTATTTGGTGTGACCAGGTAGAAGGTGGGTGGGTATGTGTGCCATTTTCTACCTTGGAGCAAGGTAGAACTTCAAGGCAACTCTTGAAGGCAGGAATGCATTAGTGACTGAGAAGTGCCACGTTATTCCCAGTTAATCCCAGATAGGAGTTTCACTGTATTTTTCACACACCCCAATACAGCACCACCCAAAAGAGAGATTCTCAGAGTTTACCCTCCAGAGTGCTCAAAACTGGGACTGCATAGACCAGATCCATTTTCAGATTTCCTCTTTCCTCAACCCCCATAAGGAGTGCAACCCCACCCCCCGCTGCAAAATCTGGGTAAATTTACACCCACCCACTCAAAAGGCAGCTGCTTACCAGAAGAGCAATTTCAGCAGTAAAAAACAACAACCAGCCTCGCTTAAATCAAAGTTTTCTAGCGCCAGCGGCACGGAATAAAGCATTTCAATACTTTATGGGGACGAGAAATGCGTTCCCCCAAACTTGTAAGTTGCTCCAGCTGCTTTTTTGGACTACAGTTCCCATCATCCTTGACTACTGGTCTTGCTAGCTAGGGACGACGGGAGTTGTAGTCCAAAAAGAAAAAAAAGCCAGCCGAAGACCCAAGTTTGGGGAAACGCTGCTTTACAGCGGAGTACTTCTACACTGCCTAAAATAAAATAAAACCAACGGGGGCGGGATAAAACTCCCCCTGTTCATTTCAGTGCATCCTCCGCAAGCAAATATTTCATAATACCGTTTGAGAGGTCTGGCGCGGAGGAACCCTAAAGCTACCTCCCGCCAAAAAATATTATTATTATTTAAAAAATCTCGTTTCTTCGGCCTAGTCACCCCTGAGAACCGCCAGGACTCGGAATAAGGATCACGTCCCGCCGAACGGGCTCAGGAAAAGCTGCCTCAGCCCAAGCGAACACGAGTGGGAAGAATATTCAAAGGAAACGAGGGGTGCGCCTCTAATGGCGGGACGGGAGCCGCCGGCCCGCGCCGGGAAAGAGCGCCAAAGTGGGCGCGGCGGGTCGCCTCACGAGCGCTCGGCCACTCGCCTCAGTACCTCAGCTCCTGACGGGCTCAAGCGAGGCCTCTCGGCAACCAGAAGCGGCGGCAGCGGCGGCGGCAGTGGCAGCCTCGGCCGCTTCCCCCCCGCGCGCCTCAGCCAACCCGAGCGCCGCTCCTCCCTCGCGGCGTGACTGAGGGAAGGCGGGCCTAGTGGGCCGGCGGGCGCCTGCGCCTTGTGGGCGGCCGGTGTGCCAGCGGAGCGGGCGGATCCCCCACGACGGGGCCCGGCTGACGTGTCTGCGCTACAGAGCAGCCCGGCCCGGCTGTGCCGGCCTGGGTTGAGGGGAAGAGAGGAGGAAAGAGGAGGCGGCGGAAAGCGAGCGGCGGAAAGCAGGCCGGCGCCTCTCGAAGACTCTGCCTTGCGAGGAGGCCCAGGCGGCGGTGGCGGCGGCAGCTCCTCGGCTGGAAGAAAAAGCCCCCGCCCGGCCTGCACCATGTTCAATGTGGAGAGCCTGGAGCGGGCCGAGCTCGGGGAGAGCTTGCTCACCTGGGTGAGTGACCGGGGCTTGTGGCGGGGGGGGGGGAAGGTGCCGTTCCCCGGGAGCTTTTGCCCCCTGGGCCTGTGCTTTCTCTCCTTCCATCCCTTTCCCAGTTTGGTGCCTGGGCGGCTTCCTTCTGTCTCTAACTCGAGCTCCCAGTTGGGCCCTGCCATGCCTCGAGCCGGTCTCTGTTCTTTTGAGGGGCTCCACACGCTTTGCCTCACTCACCCCGGTTATGGGCTTCGGCCCCCTAAGATGTGTCCAGCCTCATCCTGCTTATTCAGATGCAGGCAACCCGCTGGATTCATCCGGGCTTAAGTACCAGCTCACTCTGCGTATAGTGAGTGGTATGATTCTGTGTATTTATTTGTTTTCATATGCAAAATTCAGAGTGCGAAGGTGGCAAGTAAGTTTCTGCAAAGCATGTGTTGGGCAGGTACACAGTCTCAAGAAACCAGCCACTGGTTTCCCTGTGAAGGTCCACCTGGCTTTTGTTTTGTTTTTTAGTGTGTGAAAAAGCACAGTAGAACACCTCGTATCTCCTTTCTTCTCCCCGTGGATTGTATCCAGCAAAATTTACTTAGAGTAGACCAGCTGTAATTAATGGATCTAAGATACTTGATGTCCATTAGTTTCAATAAGTATGGAGTATGACTAATATTGGATTCCGCCCCATCTTTCTTGTCCTTTGAAGGCATTAATGTCATCAAGCCATGAAAGGGCTGGGCTTGCTTATTTCGCCATCTCTCCCTTCACAGCTTTGCTGTAAATGCAGCTTCTGCTTCCCTTTAAATCAAGTCAGTCTCTTTTAGTGTTTGTATAAACTTGTGCAAAACTTCGCACTTGCGGCTACCAGTGGGATAGTTTGCACCTAATCACATTTCTTGGAGAGAAACAAGGTAAAGGTACCCCTGCCCGTACGGGCCAGTCGTGACCGACTCTGGGGTTGCGCGCCCATCTCGCTTAAGAGGCCGGGGGCCAGCGCTGTCCGGAGACACTTCTGGGTCACGTGGCCAGCGTGACGAAGCTGCTCTGGCGAGCCAGCACCAGCGCAGCACACGGAAACGCCGTTTACCTTCCCACTATAAAGCGGTACCTATTTATCTACTTGCACTTAGGGTGCTTTCGAACTGCTAGGTGGGCAGGAGCTGGGACCGAACGACGGGAGCTCACCTTGCCTGCGGGGATTCGAACCGCCAACCATACGATCAGCAAGTCCTAGGCACTGAGGTTTTACCCACAGCGCCACCCGCGAGAGAAACTACTTAAAGGCTAGTACTTGGACTCTGCAAGACTCTTGATTGGTTTTTCTCCAACAGACTAATATAGCTATCCTCTCTCTCCTCTCTCTCTTGAAGGCGGGGTATTACTTATAATCTGTTAATTTCAGAGAAGTGAGTATCTAGTTGTGGTTTTCAGATGTTGACATCCAAGCAACTTGGGCATTGGGGGGGAAATCTACCCACACATTCTGTTGTAGTGTGCTTTGTCTATCTAAAATCAGTAGGTTGTCTTTGTTCTATTTTAAAGAGACTTCAGGTATTTGGGCCCAGAGGAGCATTATTTCCACAGGTCTAGAGCTAGGAGTGATGGAACACAGAGATACACTGTTGGAGATATTTGGGGTATACCTCCATGTTGTCATACTTATCAGTCTTTTGTAGAGCACTTTGCAGGGAGAAAATAAAGGCAACCTGCATTGCTAAGAGGCAGATAGTTGTAGCTTATTTCATATGTGTATTTTTCAGATGTGTATGCAGACAGTTGGGATCCATGCCTGGTTTCCCATGTTCTTGTGTGTGAATCCATAATCAAATACCCTGGAAAAACAATGCTTCTGAAGATAAAGTTCCCATTATGTGCAGGAGATAAAGAATATCAACTTGTAACGGGGTCCTTAACTCTTTTGTAGGTAGTGTTCTTCTTATTACTTCAATTGAAAAGAAATCTGCACCCTTGAACTTAAACAAATTCAATTCTGTTGATTGCAGCTGGGCTATTTAAGATCAAATTCTATTCTGAAAGATGCTGTTGCCTACAAACCTGTGCATTGTTGATTAAATTACAGAGCAGTCTGGGCAGATATGCCAGTGTATATTCAATTTAAGGTAAGGTGTATCCTAACAGCCACTGTGTGGGTTTGTGGGGAGTAGTGTAAACCTTTAATTTTCGACCTTCCACTAAGTCCTGTGGACTGAATTTTAGTTAACCTTCATTCTTGATGGTATAAGTTACACAGAAGTCTGTGAGTGGAACCAGTGAATGGAGTTAGGATGCAGCATAACTTAGTTTTTCCATGACACACACCCTTTTTGACCTTTACACCAGAGTAACGTTCCACTGCCTTAATTTATGCCAGCAGGGATTTTTGTCAGCCATTGTAAGTAGATATGCCAGGGTAAGCCATTTATATTGGTTTATTCTGGGGTGAGAAGATATGCCATAGCCTAACCTCTCCCAGCTGACATATCCTCTGGGGTTTGAATTGCCTCACCAGTCAAGAACATGTGATCTGTTATCCCTAGAACTAAATTACCTTCAGGTTGTCAGCAAAAAGTACATGGACACCAGGGATGATACACAACTTCAGCAGGACTTTGCCGGGTGAAAATTTGTCTCTTACACCTTGAACCTATAAATAAATAATAAACAAATAACCGAATGAATGTATGCAGAGTTTATTGTGCTGTCTAATTGCACTTTGATTTTTAACAGCTACATATTGAATGTGTTATGTTTGGACATAGTTAGTTTTGTGGTTGCTGAAAAGGGGCATAAATTGTCTCCAGTGTTGTACCTGCCACCCACATGCTATGTCCCTTTCTGTGTTTGTAATGCTAGGTATCTAGAGGGTGACTGTTGCCAGTGCAGGCTTGATTCTGCTGTATTAGTGCAACATCCTGTGATGTTTTCCAGTTAGCAAAGTACAATATTTCTCACCATGCTACAGAAGATCACACCAGTACACTCTTCATCAGACTCCAGCTAGTTTAAGATACTGCTTTTTTTTTCTATCAGAAGGTTTGAGAATGCATACTCAGATGTTGTGCTAGACTGAAATACCTGTGCTGGCTGCCAATTCATTTCCAGGCCGAGTTCCTGGAAACTAATATTTTTCAAATGAGACTGCTTTCAGTTTCACCTTATGTAGAGTCCAGATTTGACTTTTTCTGTTGCAGTACTACCATATTTTTCCGTGTATTAGACGCCCCCATGTATAAGATGACCCCCTATTTTGGGGGGCTCTAGATTAAGAAAGTGGGGGGAGATTGCCCAGAGTTGTTGAACACTCCTGATTGATGTAGCGGCAGCCAATAGACAACAGAGCTTGCCGCAGTCACCAAGCACCCGCCCAATCGCTGCTGACAATCTCAGGCTCGCGGCAAGAACCAATCACACGGGCAAACTACACACTACCAATGTATAAGACGACCCCCCCCCCAATTTTGAATTGATTTGGGGTAAAAAAAGTTTGTCTTATACACGGAAAAGTACGGTATATCTCTGGAATGCTGTCCATACATGCTCACTTTCAAAGGGAGCTGGACACCTTTATTTTCCATGTAATCTTTAATTTGACTGGTTGTTTCATTTTCCTGTAACTGTATTCTGCATTTATGATTTTTCTTTGTTTTAGTTAATATGCATCTTAGATTTCATGTGTTGGTTCCAAACTTAAGCCATGCTTCAGCTAGACTCATTGAAATCTGTGGGACTTTACATTGGTTATCCACTGTGAATTTGATTAAACCCCTTTTAAAAACATCCAGATTAGTAGCCATCAGCTACAACTTGGGGTAACGATTTTTAAATTCATTATGCACACTTTTGTCTGTTCTGAATCTTTAAAAATTCAGCTGTATTGAAGTTTTAGTGTTGTAAGAGAGAGAGAGAAACTTCTCATTGTGTGTAAACTCTACAATGTGGAGGGCAGGCTTTCTGTTCCACTGCTTTGCATTGAGTGCATATTTATTAATTGCTGGTATTTTTCTCTCCAACTTGCTGCTTTCTCTAGAGAAGTAATTAATAAGGAAGTGAATACTTATTGCATTCTACATTTCCTGGAAACAGAAGTAAATAACGGGCAGTTTTTGCACCAATCTTAACTGGCAGAAAGTCCTTGCATGTTGGAACCTTTAAATGGCCCTGGGATACACATCAGATCCTATTACTGTATTATTATTATTATTATTATATTATGAAAATGCATTTCAGAATAAATTATTCTCTTTTCCCTATTTCAGTGGCCTTGTTTTCTGCATATACCGTTCAGACAGATGTATCCCATTTGTGCATTGTCTTTCTCGTTGCCTAAATCAGCATAACCTTTAAGGGAGAGAGAAAAGGGATTAAGCAAGCCCATTCCATTTACAGTTTAATTCAAATAAGTTTTTAAAATTATAATGTATAGTTATGGATGGGTGAGTAGCATAAATTCCAGAAGGGCTGTAGCTCAGTGGCAGATAATCTGCTTTGCATGTAAAAGGTTCCAGGTTCGGTCCTCTGGCATCTGCAGGTAGGGCTGGGAGAGAACCTTGTTGGTAATCCTGGAGACCCACTTACAGTCAATGTGGACAACGCTCAGCTAGATGGACCAGTATTCTGACTCTATATAAGACAGAGTCATAATAACACTTTAGTTCTTGTCAATGCGAATCATTTGATACATCATGTCTTATGCTGCTTCTGGAAGAAACTTGGGTTTTAGTGAGTCTCTAGGGGAATATTTTTATTTTTTTTTAGGTGAGGGTCAGCTACCAGGAATGCCTTTGCAATCCTATGTTGGTGTTTAGCTGGTAGGTTTAAGAGGAAGCTCTCTGTTAATTTTGTAGCTCATTCTCTGCACTTCCGAAGGAAGCAGAGACCTAAATCCAGACACACTGGTATGATGTGTTCTTCAAGTCACACAGTTGTACTTGTTCATAAGCTTGTAAATACCCAGAACTTTATAGTTAGTTGATCTTACAAATTACTACTCTGCTACTACTTTCACAGGTTTTGACATGACCACA